GCAAAATGAAAAAGTAGTATAAGTTCGAAAATACAAAGTGGAGTTAATCTTTTTTCAGAACCTTATTAAATGTGTTTCATTGTTTTTCTTAGGTAATTTGCTTCAAGTTTCCAAGGTTTTTCATTATCTCACTATATAACAAAAGAAATTCTTGACTATCAACTTTACATTATATATCTGCTGAGTATACCACATTATTCTAGCCTCCTCCCATTGATGTTTAATTCACTCTTAAAACATTTTATTCTCTACCTAACTGTTAGAAATGTAATCCTATTTCATTAAACCATTTATATGCAAAAAAATCAAAAGTCAAGATTGATTTATCTACTGAGTATAAGTTCGGAACCTTATTAAAGTGGCACAAGTTCAAAGATGCAAAGTAGAGTTAATTCTTTTCCAAAACCTTGTTAAATGTGCTTCATTACTTCTTTTTTTTTTTTAGGTAATTGTGTTTCAAGATTTCAAGGTTTTCCATTATCCCACTATACAAAAAAAAATTCTTTGACTATGAACTTTGAATGATATATCTGCTAAGTATATCACACTATTCTACCGAAACCTACTGTGGTAGGTGGCCACCCATTGATATTTAATTCTCTTTTAAAACTTTTTATGCTCAACCTAACTCTTTGAAATGTATTCCGATTTCATTTAAACCATTCATATGCCAAAAATTTAAAAGCCAAGATTGATTTATCTGCTAAGTATAAGTTCAGAATCTTGTTAAAATTGTAAAAATTCAAAGGTACAAAGTGAAGTTAATCATTTTCCAGAACCTTGTTATATGTGTTTTTTAGGTAAAGGTGTTTCAAGTTTTGATGGTTTTCCATTATCACACTATATAGCGAAAGAAATTCTTGAATATGAACTTTCAATGATACATCTACCGAGTATACCACGCCATTTTATACAAACCTACTATGATAGGTGCCAACTCATTGATGTTTAATTCTCTTTAAAAACTTTTTATGCTCTACCTAACTCTTTGAAAAGTAATCCAATTTCATTTAAACCATTGATATGCAGAAAAATAAAAAACCAAGATTGATTTATCTGGTGAGTAAAAGTTCAGAACCTTGCCAAAGTGGTACAAATTCGAAGGCTCAAAGTGGAATTAATCATTTTCTGGAACCATGTAAAATGTGTTTTATTTGTTTAGGTAAATGTGTTTGAAGTTTTCAAGATTTTCGTTATCACGCTATAAAGCAAAAGAAATTCTTCACTATAAACTTTGAATGATAAATTTGCTCAATATATTACACTATTCTACCCAAATCTATTGTGATATGTGGCCACCCATTGATGTTTAATTCTCAGATAAAATTTTTCTTCTCTGCCTAACTTTTAGAAATGTAATCCTATTTCATTTAAACCATGTGTATGCAGAAAAATGAAAAGTCAAGATTGATTTATCTACTAAGTATAAGTTTAGAACATTGTTAAAGTGGTATAAGTTTGAATATGCAAAGTGGACTTAATCCTTTTCCGGAACCTTGTTAATTGTGTTTTTTTCAGATAAATGTGTTTCAAGGTTTTCTATTATCCCACTATATAGCGAAAGAAATTCTTGGCTATGAATTTTAAATGATATATCTGCTGCGTATACCACACCATTCTACACAAACCTATTGTGATAGATAGCCACCCATTGATGTTTAATTCTCTTTTAAAACTTTTTGTGCTACACCTAACACTTTGAAATGTAATCCTGTTCATTTAAACCATTTATATGTAGAAATATCAAAAGTCAAGATAGATTTAATTGTTCTACTATAACCATTTGTAACTGCTACTTCTTCCATCCAATAAATATAGTCATTGAACAAATTATGTTCACCAGCTAACTATTTGTTCTTCCTTCTTTGTTTATCATCTAGCCTTACAAAATGGCAAAAAGTTCAGCTTTAGCATCCATCCAAATTTCCCTTGTGCTATTACTAGCAATCGTTGTTTGTTTAGAAGCTAATCTTCTTGACCCTTACTGTTGCTACCGTGGGAAGGAAACAAAGATCACTGCGTACGTTCAACTATTTTTAGGCGGACCAAATGTCACCACTGTCCCAGTTGCCGGAGCCCTCGGTAGGCCGAGAATTCCTGAGGAATTTGGAACCATTTCTGTTAATGATGCTCGCTTAACAGAAGGCATCAGCATCAATTCTCTAACTGTCGGTCGAAGCCAAGGTCTTTATGTTTCTGCATCCCGTGATAATTTAAACTCATTTGACGTATTTTCCTTCCTTTTTACCAATGCACAATACAACGGTAGCACATTGGAATTCCAAGGACCAGGACTTGACTTACAAAATGTTACTACGGTGAGAGAAGTTTCGGTAGTTTCTGGCACCAAAACGTTTAGGTATGCTCAGGGATATGCAGCTTTTGAGACAGTTCTACGAAGGCCAGCAATGAATTATACGGTTATAAGGGCCAATGTTACCATAAGTCACTACTGAGGAGGATGGGAAATTTGATTAATAGAGGGAAAACCAAAAATTAAGAAGGCCAGTTACAGATATTTAGTTTTATTTCAGACCATATACGTACTTGGTGGTCTATGTTTCTTTATGTACTCCTTGTTCACTCGACTATCTTAATAAGAACTACATCTAGAAGGATGGGAAACAACAAATAATAAAAGTAAAATAATAATTAAGAAAACCAAGTATAGATTTTTATTTTTATTGCGGACTATTATGTATACTTGGTGATCAATGTGTGATGTTTCTTCTTGTACTTTTAGTTTCACCAATATGTCCATCGTAATAAAAACACTATTGGTGTTCTTCAATTACACTTGACTTCGTATTACGTAAGCTTGTGAATGTGTTAACATAAGCCATGTGCATTTACCAAGAGAGATGTGTATTGAAACTTAGATAAAATCTACACCTAATTGTGGAGTTTGCTTGCACCGATGGTGTACATTGATTATTGCTTTTTGCACATGCAAAATCCCCGTCTCAATATTTTGGGAAAATTTTTAATAATCTCCCCTAAAGTTTTTGAATATTGCAGCTACCTCCTCTAAGGTCTTAGAAATTTATGCTTACAATACTTGATGTTTTGAATATAATAGTCTTCACAAAAACTTAAGATACTAAGTGAAAATCATGTTGAAAAAAGGAAGAGGGAAACCCTTTTAAGCTGATGCCTCTCTATTCTAAAAGTTCTAAGTCTATCTGATGTAGTACATTACATTCCATTCCCAATTGTGCTAAATGGATTTCTTTTTGAGTTCTATGAAGAGCTAACCAGCTAGTAGGAAAACATTTGTTAAAAGAGATCTCTTCACAAATTAATTAGAAAAAAGGTATAGTCCAAGGACCAAAAAATGATGCCTTCAAAACATGGTTCAAACTACAAAGAACTATTAAAAAATTTTTACCCAGTAGGTATTTTTTTAATTTTTTTATTTTTTGGTAATGGTGATATTTGACTTCTTTTAGCATCTAATTTGTTTTAGAAATCAGATAGGGGCAATGGCTCATGTTACGACATGTTTAACTTGCATAAAAAAAAAATACAACTGAGATTTGATGTGCTTAAGCACGGCCTCCCCATTTTATGACATGTTTATGAAGCCACACATTTGATGTGCAAGATTTTCACTTGCACAATTGAGACCGCATAGATTTGCTTGTAAGCATGAGACTGGAAGAACCCGTTTAGGATTTGTTTTACATAAGTTTTGAATGGATTTGTTCTTTAATCTTTCATTTCTCGAATGAGGATCAAACCTGCATGATGCTACGCCATATAACTCTGTCCGAAACCGTGTTCAGTATGGAGAAGTCAATTGACTGAAATTTAAAAGCATTGAGTAAATTTTAGTTCTTACTTGTTGCTATGTTAAACCTATATGGACTTCTCAGATATTTTAGATATTTCAATCTTTTGAAAATTCCACGTTTATTCTATTTCATTTCCAAGTTCCAACAATTCTCTCTAGTTTTATTCATGTCTTTCACAAAAAAAATTATTTCAAAAGGAACGAAATTGGTTTCTTACAATTTTTTCTTGTCAGTGTTTGAGTCCTGTAAGAAACAAATACCTTGTTAGATCTAAATAAATACCTTGGATAAGGAGAGACTTATTCCAATCTCCCCCACCAAAGTCACTTGATTATCAAACGCTCCTCGATCCTCAGGTGCATGTATCTATCTCAATGGTTGGTGATTTTCCCTTATTATAATCGTCATTACACATATAATTGGTACTACTAATAAATAAAGTTGTTAGTATTATGTAGAAGCCAAAAGGAGATACAAGTGTCCCAAAATTGACTTTTACAGTAGAATTCTACAAAGAATCAAGCCCATTGTTAAAAATAGCAGTAAAAGCATCCATTCTTGGCTTGGAAAGGGATAAATCAACCTCAATATCTCCATCTGATTCTCTACTCCCACTAAGAGAAATGGCCCCTGAAGTATCAATCGAAACGAACTCGAACTTTTTAGGCTTTCCCCATCCAAAATCCAGATTGTAATAGTTATACCTTGGTGAGCCAGCCACGGAAACAAGCCTGTCCAAATTTATACCCGCAGTATCCGGCAACCACTTGTCAGCATCGTCGAAGAGTGAATCATTGTTCTTCAATCTCTGATGAATGGCCTCCCCGCTTAACTCAACTGCAATTGGAAATCCTTCTTCTCCAATTAACTTTCCATTTTTTTCATTTTTCCTAATAAGTGTTTGGCAATTGCCAAAATAGTTGGAAGGTAAAGGTGGATCCATACGTCCTCTACAATCAGCCGTGCAACAAAAGTATTCCTCCACTTGTTCTCCACTTGGACCACGACATTTTACCAAGCAAGTCCAAACATGGGCACAAATTACCGTAAATGATGATAAATGAACTAATTGTGGCCGTTTTTGCCGGGCTAAGTTCTTGACTTTTTCAATATTGTTTCTGCTAATAACAAAAGATCTGCGAACTTTGTCTGTTTTGGTCGTAGGTTTTGTTGTAGTATCAGTAGAACTCTCATTTTGAAAAAACTTTAAGAAGACGACCCCTTGGTCCCGAAAAATTGAGTTAAGTCCCTTTGTGTCTTTGCTAGAGTTGCTGCAACATCATCTCTGTCGATATTATCTTCAAGACATTTGGAGCATAAAGCAGCCCACGTCTTCATAAATCTGAAAATGCTGCCGGCATCTCCGACAGTGTGGTGATTTGAGATTCCAATAGACATTCCACAGTCTGGAAATAATGTAACCTGAAGAGCAAGAACAGGGGTAATCCTGGCTGTGGATCCGGAATCATCCTCAGTAGATGGTTTCAATTCAGGAATCAGCGGATGAAAATCACAACAATTCCGTGCATGGTTTGCTGTAAGATAATTGAAATCAATCGTGGTACACTCGGCAATGATTAGTGCTAGTGAACTTCCATTTTTTTAAAGAATTTCGGGCGTGCCAGAATTTGAATTGGAAGGAACTATCAAATTCCCGGCTAGAGGAAGAAAAGGTTGGAGTGTCAAGGAGAGTGAATGTTCAAGCTTAGGAATAATGTGCTCGATGAAATGTGCTCTAGAGAGCTGAGGTACTTCATAAAGGACGAGGCGTTCAACAGGGGAAAAGTGCAACCAGAGCATATCAAGGAATGTTAAAGGGAGAGACATTGCAGTGGCCGCCGCAGACGACGGTGGCGACACTAGAGAATGCTTAAGCACGGTGACTGAATTTTCTGTAGCCATTTTGGTCTATAGTTGGCGAATTGATATATGAGCTCGTATTTGTGATCAAGACTAGAGGAGCACAGGCACGGGTGAATATAATATAGGGTTAATCACATTTTATCCCCTTAAAGAACAGTTTACCCCCTAACCTTTAATTTTGCTCACTTAACTCCCTTTAGGACAAAATTGCCCTTGCATTATTTTGACTTTTCATTTACCTTGTTTTTCTTTCTTTTATTTCTTTTTCTCTTTCTTCTTTATTTAATTCTTCCTCTTTCCCACAAAAATTTTAACCTTAATGATTGAAATTAAAAAAGAAAAATTGCAGAGATTTATCTTCTCCTTAAATGATTAAAAAAATATTCAAATCACTTTCCTAAAATAAAATTTTTTTAGCTTTTCAATTCTTTTAATTTTGGATTTTCCTTTTTCCTTTCTAGTTTCTCATTTTATTCTCAAGAAAATATCATAAAATGAAATTGTTTTCCTTTCTTTTATTTCTTTTTCTCTTTCTTCTCTCTTTCATCCTTCCCAATAAAAATTCCATTTCAACGAAAATTTTTGTTTTGAGTTTTTAATCGCATATTTCTAGGTGAAGATTTAAAAGGCATCAAAAACTAATTTTGATTTTTTGTATGATGCCACGTGTCACAAATTTCAATTGATGATTATTAATCAGGTCACAATTTCATCTTAAGATATTTTCTTGGAAATAAAATGAGAAACTAGAAAGGAAAGAGGGAAACCCAAAATTAAAAGAATTGAAAAGCTAAAAAAATTGTATTTTAGGAAAGTGATTTGAATATTTTTTTTAATCATTTAAGGAGAAGATAGATCTCTGCAATTTCTCTTTTTTAATTTCAATCATTAAGGTGAAAATTTTTGTGGGAAAGAGGAAGAATTAAATAAAGAAGAAAGAGAAAAAGACATAAAAGAAAAGAAAACAAGGTAAATGAAAAGTCAAAATAATGCAAGAGTAATTTTGTCCTAAAGAGGGTTAAGTGAGCAAAATTAAAGGTTAGGAGATAACTAAGAAATGGGGTATTCTTTAAGGGGATAAAATGTGATTAACCCTATAATATATATATATGTATGAGGGCAAAATGCCCCAGTGACCCTCAAATTATTATAAAATTTAACTTTTAGTCCTCAAATTATTAATTGATAAGTTTTACCTCTCTAACTAATTTAAACATATAATTCTAACCTTTCAGTCAACTTGAGTGGTTATGTTTAACAGATATAAAGGATTCATGGGATGTTAGTGGCGCTCAAACTATTACAAATTTTAACTTTTGACCTTATAATTATCAACTGATAAGTTCTAGTTCTCCAACTAATTAAAATGTATAATTCTACTCTTTCTATAAATTTGAGTAGTTATGTCGAACAGAAATTCTATTAATAAAAAATTTGGAATGTGCCCAACTGAGTGTTTGATATAGTGATATAAAGTTTGGAGAAATCTTACTAGAGAATTGATTATTTGAGAAATTTAGAAAGTTCAAACTTGGAAGTAAACCAAGACTTGTTGGAATGTTCCTAGAAATGAATTGTGCCATATTTATGTCATTAGGAGAAGCAAATGAACCCAATGGATTTGGAAGAACACCAAAAAATGAGTGAAATTCCAAATCAACTCAATTAATTCAAGTTGCCTCTCTTTGCTAGAATTTCTCTATTTAGGGTTTTGGTTTTAGGTTTTCAATTGATTTTGGTCAAATTCAACAATTGGAGATTTGGTAAATTAATTTATGAGTCAAATGGAGTAAAATAATTTTACCCCAACACATGTCCTGCAAAGATGAAAACACCTCTCGATTATTGCTTGGCCATGCACGTGGTGATTTTTTTGTTCAACATAAGGATTTAAATTGACAGAAGAGTTAGAATTATATGTTTTAATTAGTTGGAGGTGTAAAATTGATCAGTTAATAGTTGGAGGGTTAAAAGTTAAATTTTATAATAGTTTGAGAGCTACTGCTGTGCATATGCTGCTATTTTTGTTAAACATAATAGTTCAAGTTGATAGAAGGGTTAAAATTATATGTTTTAATCAATTAGAGGGTTAAAACTTGTCAATTAATAGTTAGAGGGTCAAAAATTAAATTTTATAATAGTTTGAGGGCCATTAGAACATTTACCCTATATATTATTAAGTGTCAATAATCTATATTTGCACCTATTCCTACTCTTAGGAAGGGGATAGACCCAGTTAGATCATTAGGAAGCGGAGGAAACTAAACCACTTTTAAACTAAAAGGATACCATTTAGCATTCGTTAAATTTAGAGAAGCCACGTGGAGTGACAATTGATGGGAAATAAAATTTGAAACCTTAACCTTTCATCCACAAAGTCCTTAAGTGCCTTTGTGGATGTCAACCGCCCTAAGGGGCCGTTGGATGGATGAAAAAAATAATTGGGATTGTTTCAGTCAAGTTTTGCCTAATTTTGTGCGGTTTGTAAATGTTTTTTTGCGTGATTTTATGTATAACTAGGTGTTGGACCCCGCGGGTGTCGCGGGGTGCCCATATTATCTTGTTGTTGAGTGTTAACTGATGATTTTTTTGTAAAGAAGATGTTTGTGTAAGAGATGGATTATAAACAGGAAAGTCGAAACCATGCATTTTTTATATATACATGATCATTGGGAATTGCAGCTTAATACAAAAGTTAGTTGTTATTTGTACAGAACAAAATTCTAGAAAGCTGCTGTGATTCGTAAACAAAAAGTACAATTTTTTGTTTTACATCCAACTGGAATGTAAATTATCTAGTTTAGTTTTTGATGCTTTGTGCTTTCAGAGAAATCTGCCTCAAGATTGCGCTTGATGGAGGATGAGGTCTCTAGCAGCTTTGGAGTTGGCAAGATTATCTTGCACGATCACGACGGCTTTTTTCTAAACGATATTCATCTTCTGAGGAAATTTACGTTTCCGACCCATATGCAATTGTAGCTAAAATTAAGAAAATTCTGTTATCCATGACATTCAACAATAACAATCACAAATCATCTAAAGTTTCTTGAAGCAGACAAAACAAGCGTGAATGAAAGAGATGATTTCCATTTAATAAGCAAAACGATAACAAACATAGAAGATAAAACACAACGAAGTAGAACAGACTAAGCACTAAGCAGATAAGGAACAAATAAGTAAAGGAGAGATTGCTTTACCTGAACAATAAGCTTCGAATAGGATGGTTGAGCTGAGCTGCATGGAATAAACCGATAAGATCACAGAAAAGATAAATATAACATGGAAGTAGCTAACATAAGAAAAGTCAGAGTCCATGCAAACTAAAAGCTTGCAACAAAGAGATGGAAATGATGGGGAAAAGAAAATGATAAAAGCATAACTTGAAGCATACGAAACAAAAATAAGCAAACACAGTGAAAGAGCAAAAAGTTCACCGAACGAACAATGTAATAAACAGCTATATTAGGCGCAAAAGTGGAGAAATACAGTAAAGGAAAATAGGCAGCACCTGATTGAAGTGAGCCAGAAGGAGGAAACTGGAAACAAAAATCACCAAAAGCTGGCACAAGATGGAGGCTTAATAGAAAGACGCCGGACAAAAGAGAAAGTCTAAGCAAAGAAACTGACGGTGGAAAAACTAATGTAAATATAGCACATAGAGTGCTTAACTATATAAAGAGCCTGTGCTTTGGTAAAAGCAAGCACATGCATGCATTAAATCTACGTAATGATTGCAAGTCCACTATGATAAAAGAACCAAACGAAGCAAGCATATCTATAATCACCGAACGAACCAAATATAGCTGTAATGCGTAAGCTGTAAGCACGTAAGATGAAATTTGACCCAGTGCAATCTGCAAGGTGTAATCTGTAAGCATGCAACACGTAAGGCAAAATTTGACAGAGTCAAAGGAGAATTGCGCCACGTAATATGAAAGTAACAGAAAAGAACCACGTAAGATCTGATGAGTAGCTTTAATTTAATAATCGAGCGAGTTTAATTTAATGGATTTAATAAGGTAGACAACTAATTATCATTTTGTATTAAGCACATATATGTTATGACATTCAATCTTATAGCTAACAATAGCTAACAAATTTTATCAATCTTATCTAAATCTCATCTCAAAACACCATAGCTTTAATTTAATAATTGCGTAGTTCAAATTTAATAATCGAGAGAGGTTGAGCACATTTATGCTATGCTACTCAATCTAAAAACACAATAGCTTTAATTTAATAATTGAGTAATTTTAATTTAATAATCAAGAGAGGTTGATGTAATGGAACAAAGCGACGCAATAGCTTTAATCCAACAAGTGGGCAGCTTTAATTTAATAATGAAGAGGGCTTGATTTAATCGAACAAAGCAGGGAGCAAGGGTGATTTAATAGAACAAAGCCGGACAATTGATTTATAACTTGTAACTGGAGCTTCACACCTTCACGGGCACAGATTGAGAGCAGAGGACGTTGACGGCTACATATTGGACCACAGGACAAAGAAGCACAAATCGAACAGCCAAATCATGATTTTTAATATAATTTTTGTAATGTAGTATGGATTTGTCATATTTTGTATTATTTTGAATGATTATGATTTTGATATGTTTTTCTATTGGTAGAGTAAGTAATTGTTTTGCAATTTTTTGGTATTTTTTTTGTTTACGGTATATTTATGTTTTGTCTAATTATGATTTGATTATTGGTTCTAATTAATTTTATGATAGCAAAAGTTGCGAGAAACTTGTAAAGAGTAATTTGGCAGGCAAAGTTGGTGATTTGTTTGCCTATCATAATTTTTTTTTTTTTTATATATCGACGGATATAGTAGCTATGGATGGATACAGTCGCATTTTTTTTGTTTCTGAAATCCAAACACAATGAACCAACATAATACGGCAGACCATAAAAGATTTCACAAAAACCGTGAGAGGTCCAAGAAATCTGGGCAGGCATGTGCAGCAGGCAACGGGCCAACCAGTACTTGCAATAAAAAGACGGAAAAGGCCAAAATCTGCCGAGAAACAACAACGAAAC